GGTTGGTGTCGTTCACGTAGACAATGGCCGCGGCCATGTACAAGACGAACAAGGCCACGTTGATTCCGAACTCCGTCAGGGGCCACCAGCTCGAGTCCAGAAGAATGGTCCGGTAGTACATGGACATGCCAAGGACCAGCACGATGATGGTGGCGATCCACGCCACGCCGGCCACCACCAGCACGAAAGGGGTCTTGGGCCCGCTGTAGTAATAGCCCCCGTAGGCACTGCCCAGGCCCCCCAGGCCCCCCGCGCCGTAGGGCTGCGAGTAGCCGAACAGGTTGTACCACTCGCTGTCCTTGTGGATGTACGCCGTGACGCAGGCGAAGACGCCCGCGCCCAGCAGCAGCTCCGCCACGCCGAGCATGCGCAGCAGGCCGGCCCACGACTTCATGTAGGCGTAGCGCAGCCGGTAGGCCTCCACCTGCTCGCTGTACGTCCGCGCCGTCGGCGTGCGTCCGTCCACCACCGCGCCATACGGGTCGTGGGGGAACGCCACGCTGGCCTCCCTCCGGGAGGGGCAGGTGCCTTGCGAGGCCCGGGAAGGATCCGTGGGTGAGTGGTGGCGATCGGGTCTCCCCGGAGAGGCTGGAGGCGAACACGGCACGCCGTCGGAGATGCACCCGGTGTCAGAGTCGGCCAGCTCCCATCCCCGGTCCTTTCTCTTCCCTCTGAAGAAGTCCTTCCAGGAATCGGGGACAAAGCGCCGGACGGGTTTGAGGTCGGGCACGAGGGCGGGTTCCTCCGTGTCACTGGAGTAGAAGTCCGGGCCGAAGGGCGGCTGCGCCGGGAGCGGGGGAGGGGGCAGCGGGTCGGCGCTCACCGCCAGCTCGCCGGCCTGGAGCGTCTCCAGGGGCCTCGGGGTGCCATCTCCAGAGGGCGAGTCCCGGGGCACCTCGCTGTAGCCCCTGTCTCGAGTCTTGGCTCTTCCACCATTGGACGACATTTGTGGTGCCACACCTGCGGCCAAGACTAAAGTTACACGCCTGCTTGTTGCTCGGGGCGCCGACTTGACCCACAGAGTCAGGTCTCATTATGCTGACAGACAAAGGCGATAAAATAAGCATGCACACTCTGAAAGTACTTCATAGATTACCCAACAGTGTAATTTGTATTCACTGTTGTTTTTTATTGTCAAGATGATGTACAGAGGGGTTACAAGTAAGGAAATAACATTTCTTGTCAAACTTGTTGCCCCTTTCACTGTCATTTTTTTTTTTTTTGGTCGGTCATGGGACTTGAACTCTGGGCCTGGGCGCTGTCCCTCAGCTCTTCAGCTCAAGGCGAGCGCTCTACCACTTGAGCTACAGTGCCACTTCCGGTTTTCTGGTGGTTTATTGGAGATAGGAGTCTCACAGTCTTTCCTGCCCGGGCTGGCTTTGAACCATGATCCTCAGATCTCAGCCTCCTGAGTAGCTAGGATTACAGCCACCAGCGCCCGGCTCACTGTCATTTTGTTTTGGTTTTTGCAAATTTTTATTGTGATTGATTACATAAATTTCACCGTATTGTGGGATAGTGATACTTAGTTAAAGTCATAAACATTCTAACCTTCATGGGGCAAATTGACTTTATAGTGATCTAGAAAGCTTATGAGTTCTATGAGCTTTGACAATACAGTTATTTCTTCCATATGGGGTGATATGAACATTTCTTTCCTTTTGCTTATTTCACTGTCGTTTTAAAGCACACACTGTATATTGGGGGGGGCAATACTGGGGTTTGAACTTATGTTCTTGTGCATGCTAGGTAGGGGCCTTACCACTTGAGCCATGCCCCCAGCCCTCAGTAAAAGTTTTATATCTTAGTTTTAAATTGTATATGATACAATATTTACCCATGAGCTCTGTAAATAACAAAATATAAAAAACAAAATTGACAACATTTACATGATGTGGGATGATAGCATGTTCTCAAGTCCTTTCCACAGACATTTAAGTTAAACTCTGTGCATACCAAAACTTGATGAGTCAGCAAATACTCTTCATTTTTCTTTTTCTTTCATTAACTTGCATCTGTTTTGGAATGGTTACGAGCTGTGATAGCCCAACAAGCAAAATGCCCCTTCCTATCTAAAGCAAAGAGAAGTCAGTTCATTGGTCTTGCTTACTTTCCTCTAAACTGTTATACTTGTTATTAGGTTTTAATATTAAAAATTATTAATTAGCTGGAGCCAGTGGCTCACACCTGTAATACTAGCTACTCAGGAGGCTGAGAACTGAGGATTGCAGTTCAAAGCCAGCCCGGGCAGGAAAGGCTGTGAGATTCTATTCTCTAACCACCAGAAAACTGTCAGTAGTGCTGTGGCTCAAAGTGGCAGAGTGCTAGCCTTGAGCAAAAAGAGCTCAGGACCTGGAGGCTGGCTCACGCCTGTAATCCTAGCCACTGTTCTAAGGAGGCTGAGATCTGAGGATCACAGTTTGAAGCCAACCCCGGGCAGAAAAGTCCCCATGAGATTCTTTTTTTTTTTTTTGTCGGTCATGGAGCTTGAACTCTGGGCTTGGGCGCTGTCCCTGTGATCTTCAGCTCAAGGCAAGTGCTCTACCGCTTGAACCACATCGCCACGTCCAGTTTTCTAGTGGTTTATTGGAGATAAGAGTCCCATGGACTTTCCTGCCCGGGCTGGTTTGAACAGCAATCCTAAGATTGCTGTGAGCCATTGGCTTGCCTTGCATGCTTGAGGCCTTGGGTTCAATTCCTTAGCACCACATAAGCAGGGGGAAAAAAAGCCAGAAGTGGTGCTGTGGCTCAAGTGGTAGAGTGCTAGCCTTGAGCTGAAGAGCTGAGGGACAGCGCCCTGGCCCAGAGTTCAGGCCCCACGACCGGACTCCCCCCCTCCCCCAAAAAAGAAACAAAAACCAGAAGCACAAAGAAGTTCAGGGACAGTGTCCAGGCCCTAAGTTCAAGCCCCAAGACCAACAGCATCAACAAAAAGTTTAAGTCCAGGGCTAGGAAGGTGACTCAGTGGTAGAGTGGTAGAGTGCTTGCCTTGCATGCATGAGGCCCTGGGTTCGATTCCTCAGCACCACAAAACAGAAAGAGCTGGAAGTGGCGCTGTGGCTCAAGTGGTAGAGCACTAGCCTTGAGCTGAAGAGCTGAGGGACAGCGCCCAGGACCAACCAAAAAATCAAAAAGTTTAAGTCCAAAACAGGGTACTGGTATAATCCCAGAAGGGAGTTTTAGGATGTTCTAACAAGGTACTCCAATCCTGAGAGAGAAACTTTCATAAACAGCTCTTTAAATGATAGCAGTTATTTTTGTCCCTTTTATTTTTCTTGTCCAAAGACTTTAAATAACAGAAATGCATAGAACCTAGTTAAGTTTGTGTACACACACACACACACACACACACACACGTGTTGGTACTTGGGGTTGAACTGAACTCTGGGCCTGGAGACTGTCTCTTATCTATTTCACTCTAGGCTAGTGCTCTACCATTTGAGCCACAGCTCCATTTTCAACTTTTTGGTGGCTAATTGAAGAGCTTCACAGACTTGACCTGGGTGGGCTTCAAACTGTGATTCTCAGAACTCAGCTTCCTGAGTTGCTAAGATTATAGACCTGAACCAGTGCCTGACCTAAAACTAGTTTAAAAATGTATTATTAAGGGATGGGAAGGTGGCTCAGTGGTAGAGTGCTTGCCTTGCATGCATGAGGCCCTGGGTTTGATTCCTCAGCACCACATAAGCAGAAAAAGCTAGAAGTGGCGCTGTGGTACCCTTGAGCTGGAGCTGAGGGACACAGCTGACAGGCTTAGAGTTCAGGCCCCACTACCGACCAAAAAAAAAAAAAAAAAAGTATTATTAAGAAATGGAGAGCAAGCTAGGCGCCGGTGGCTCACGCCTGTTATCCTAGCTACTCAGGAGGCTGAGATCTGAGGATCGCGGTTCAAAGCCAGCTCAGGCAGGAAAGTCTATGAGACTCTTATCTCCAATGAAAACCAGTAGAAAACCAGAAGTGGCTCTGTGGCTCAAGCGATAGAGTGTTCGCCTTGATCTGAAGAGCGCAGGGACAGCACCCAGGCCCAGAGTTCAAGCCCCACAACCGACAAAAAGAAAAAGAAAAAAAAAGAAATGGAGAAACCAAAGCACAAGGGCAACCTTCGCACTGTTCTGCTCACATCTACAATGCACAGGCATTTCTAGGACACTCCACG